CGAAGTGCTTCCCTTGTGGGACTTCTCCCTCTTAAGACCACCAGGTGGTGGGTCTTCTGATTTTGAAGAATTCTCTGTGTTCCAGCTGTTATTGTTCTAGGAAGTCGCCATCACAGCTGTTGAGCAGGCATCAGCGTGTGAGAACCTAAGAGAAGCCGTGTTGGATCAGGCCTGTGCAGGGGTCGTTTCGTAGAAAAAGAGCTAGGGGAACTCATTAGCATAACTCATTAGCATATGCCACACCCCCTGACATCACCGGAAGTGTGTCATAAGGCCACACCCCCTGACATCACCAGAAGTGTGTCATAAGGCCACACACCCCACCCCCAACGGTCCCGGCCGCCGCCGCCAGCCTTGTAGCTCCACTGCCGAGCCTCATGAGGGGTCAGCGGTGGACCTGCAAGGCCGGCGGGAGTGCAAGGAAGCCCTGCGAAGGCCCTCCCTGGCCCCAGGCAGGCAGGGGTGGGGAGAGGCAGGGAGGAAGCAACTTACCCTCTGTCTTCTCCTGCCTCCTCCTGGCTGAATGAGGGCCGGAAGCGGGGCGGCCGGAAGCAGGGGGTGGGGCTTTGTCATGTGCCCCGCCCCCATACCTCACCCAGGGGAACTGCGATCCCCTGCGATCCCCCCGAAATGACCTCTGGGCCTGTGGCCCATCCAGCTCAACACTCTGTGCCACACAGTGGCTGAAACCCAGGTGCCATCAGGAGGTCCAGCAGCAGGGCCGGAACTCCGGAAGCCCTCCCACTGTGGCCCTTCTCCCAAGCACCAAGAAGACAGAGCATCACTACCCGAGACATAGTGTACCGTTCTCCCACTGCTGTGCCCTCCCACCTCGCCTTGCTTCTGGGGCTAGCGGGAGAACAGTGGGGGGCTTGTGTGATGATGCACTATGTGTCAACGTCCCATGTGGACAAAAGCTGTGATGCCCAGCTGACGTACTTGTCACCTGACATACAGGCATCATGTCTAGGTTCCCCCCCCCCCCAGACATGGTGGTGACACATCTGATCTGCCCCTTGCCTCACCTTCAAAGCCCTGGCAGTACCAGGTGGCAGCCTGTCATCCCTACACAGTCATAATCCATTGTGGGGACTTGAATGTGGTCAAGCCAGTCTGGTGTAGTGCTTAAGTGCACGGACTCTAATCTGAGAGAACCGGGTTTGCTGCCCCACTCCTCCACTTGCAGCTGCTGGATGACCTTGGGCAAGCCGTAGTTCTGTCAGAGCCGTTCTGTCAAGGACAGTTCTGGAAAGAGCTCTCTCAGCCCCACCTACCTCACAGGGTATCTGTTGTGGGGAGGGGAAGGGAAAGGAGAGTGTAAGCCGCTCTGAGACTCCAAGTGAAGGGTGGGGTATAAATCCAATCTCCTCCTCCTCCTCCCAGATCTTAGCCTGATGGTCTAGCCTGATGGTCTACCCATTACACCATAATATTTTTTAAATACACACTTAGTAATGATTGCTCTTTTTATGTCATGCAGCTTTCCAGGGTAAGATGGTTCTTTCAACCTCTCAGTGCCAAAAAACTGTCCACAACTCATTTATGGAGTCTGGTGAAAGTCTGTTGTGTTGCATTAGATTTTTAAGGGGACTGTTGACTGCATCTTGCCGTGTGAGCGAGGTTTATAGAATCTACCTTGGAGCGACTGAATATAAGCCAAGCCTCCTTATTTTTGCCAAGCCCCATTTCCACCACCCCCACCCCCTTCTGTCCCCCTTTTTCACAAAGAAAACCATCTGCACCTGTGATTTCATTGAACAGTGAAGGTGTAGCATTATTTTTTTCCCCTGGCAAATGTTCTCCCATTAATTGCTTCCTCATGTTAGCTTATTTGTGGGTGCATGAGAAACAAATATTTGCGAAGCCGATCTTCGAAAACATATACGTTCAGGATGGATTCTAAATGTGATTTGCTGTATTGTTTCTTTGCATTCGCTGTTTATATTCGCACATTTTTTCCTGGCAGGGAATCTCCTATTACCTGTAGGGCTTCTGTCATTCTCGGACTAAAGTGATTGTCTGTTGGTTATTTGCATATGTTAATTCGTCGAAGGATATGAACATACAAGCTGGGGTCCAAAGAATTTTCTGCGTACACCCAAACACATCTGTGTACACACCAGGGCTCTCCCAGACAGCATCTTATGGTGCTGCTCAGGAAGTCGTTCTGGGAAGCTTCCAACTTTTTGAAACAGCTTTTCACAGACTGCGTTGGGCAGTGGAGAGCCTTGGAGAGCATTGGGACGTCCCTGTTTATGTGTGGTAGTTTCTGAATCCTGCCTAGATGTATGTTACTGCCTTGTACAGAGAGAGATTGTTGGTCCTTCTAGCACGAGGATGTCCTCATTAAACACTGGAAGTTCCTCATCCTTATTAATGTGCGGTAATTTTTTCACCTTGCTTACACATATGATACTGCTTCATACAGAGAGAGATAGGACTCAAAATAATGGGTTTACATTAAGGGCGGGAAGGTACTGGCTGGATATTAGGAAAAAACTTTGTTACAGCCAGAGTCGTGCAACAGTGGAACCAGCTGCCTAGGCGGGTGATGAGCTCCCCCTCACTGGCCGCCTTTAAGCAGCGGCTGGACAAACACTTGTCAGGGATGCTCTAGGCTGGTCCTGCATTGAGCAGGGGGTTGGACTAGGTGGCCTGTCTGGCCCCTTCCAACTCTATGATTCTGTGATTATTGGTCCTTCTAGCATGTTGTTGTTGTTGTTGTTCAGTCGCACAGTCGAGTCCGACTCTTCGCGACCCCATGGATCATCTCCCGCCAGGCCCTCCTGTCTTCTGCCGTCCCCTGGAGTTGGCTCAATTTCATGTTCGTTGCATCGATGACACTGTCTAACCATCTCATCCTTTGCCGTCCCCGTCTTCTTTGACCTTCAATCTTTCCCAGCATCAGGGTCTTCTCCAGGGAGTGATCCCTTCTCATTGGGTGGCCAAAGTATTTGAGCTTCAGTTTCATTATCTGGCCTTCCAGGGAACAGTCAGGGTTGATTTCTTTTAGGATTGACTGATTTGATCTTCTTGCAGTCCAAGGGACTCTCAAGAGTCTTCTCCAGCACCTTCTAGCATGGGGATGTCCTTATTAAACACTGGATGTTCCTCACCCTTATTCATGTGTGGTAGTTTTTGGATCCTACCTACACATGACACTACCTTATGCAGAGAGAGATTATTGGACCTTCTAGTTTAACCATGTCTACCCTGATCAGCAGCGCCTCTCCAGGGTCTTGGTAGGGTTGCCAACCTCCAGGTGGGGCTTGAAGAGATCTTGGAATTACAAGTGATCTCCAGGTGACATAGATTAGTTCCCCTAGAGAATATGGCTGTTTTGGAGGGTGGGCTCTATGGCATTATACCCTGCTGAGGTCCCTCTCCTCCCCAAACCTCACCCTCCTTAGGCTCCACTCCCGAATCTCCAATAATTTCCCAGTCCAGAGTTGGCAACCCTAGGTCTTGGTCAGAGAACGGTCCTTTCTCTTGCCTGCCACTTGAGCGCCTTTTGACTAGAGATGCCAGGGATTGGACCTGGGATCTTCTGCTTGTAAAGGATGGTCTGCCCCTGAGACATAGGCTTCTCCCTTAAGCTTCAGTGCTTTTTACGCTTCCCGTGTAATTACCAGGCCAGTAAAAAGAAAGAAAGAACGGTCAAGAGGGGACTCTAAGCCTGTGTTGCCATGGATCTTTGGACGATGTATGTTTGTTACGCAATAGAATGCTTCCATTTCTCCTTTGCTGCATGTTGTCTTGTTCGTGTTACTTCAGAATGTTGCACAGCAATTTGTATTTTCTAGGAGCTTGGGACTCCAGATTTGGAATATGTAAAAATGCCACTGCAACCGTTTTGCGGGGATTTTGGTGTAACTTTCCCAAGAATATTGTGGATCCAGTGAACTGAAAGGCAAGACACAGGCTACAAACACGCACAAACAAACACGAGAACACATGAGCTGGATGAACACTCTCACCCCAAAGCTGCGCAGTGGGGAAATGCAGTTTAAAAATAAGTAAATAATTACAGAACAGTGCAGACAGCCACTGGGGCCAAAAGTTATGACACTTACTGTGCATTATTTTACAGAAAACCTCACACACATCTGAGTGCTATAAAAATGTTGATTCTGATACAGGTGGGATATAACATTTGTCACTGCCTCAAATAGTCACAAACGTCTCTTTTAATTATATATATATATGTGTGTGTATATGTGTGTGTGTGTGTGTGTATATATATATATATA